GGGGCACCCCGCCCCGCTGGGAACCTGCCCGGCAGGCCCCGCCTCGAGGTCCCAGAGCCCCGGGACCGGCCTGAGCACCCGGCTCCCTCTCCAATCGAGCTGGGCTGCTGCGGTTTGGCACTGCAGGGCTGGCCCAAAGCCGCCCTCAGCATCCCAAGAGCTGCGCTGCCAATTAAGAGCACAGTTCGGGGGAGAGTAGAGATGGAGCTTTTTGGTTGTTGGAAGACTGTTTTGTTTTACTTGGGGAGCAAGAGAGCGGTAGCTGTTCCCTCTGGGGACGAGCGTCAACAGAGGCGCTGCCGCAGCCGGTGGGCATGGGCCCGCTTGCCCTCTGTGCCAGCCGCAACACCGCCCTCCGCGGAGCTGATGAGCTGCTTTGGGTATGGGAGCCGGACTTCCCAAGGCTAATTCTCCCTGTCCGCCGTCCACTGAGCTCCGCGATTGGTCCACACACTTTGGTCCTGGCGCAGAAGCTGTCCAGGTGCTAACCCATCCGCATCTGGATCGTGGTCTGCTCCCCATTTCACCCTACCACAGTTCTGCCCCTTTCTCCCCTCCAAGGTCATCCCCCACGTCACTTATCCCCTAGGAATCCACCAGCAGAAACTGGGCCTCCCTTTTGAGGTGGGGTGAAGAATCCCAGGGTCACAACCAGGTCTGAGGGCTGAGGTGACTCTTGAGCAGACTTAAGAGTGAGCAATCTGCTTTGAGGTGGGGTTCGGTGAATACCTTGGGGGTCCTCCTCACTCTTTCCCAGCATCCGGGCCTCCTTCCAGTACAGATCCTCCTCTGTCCAGAAACTCTCCAGCTTGGAAATCGCGCCTGCTTTCGGGTCTGGCCCACTGCACTCTGGCCACCCACCTTCTCAAACCTGGCTCCCTGAGTTGAGTCTTCCGGACCCTAGAGACTTAAGCAAAATAAGAAGGCCTGTGTAATACTGGGGAGAGTTTTGTTACCTTCTTCTGTATCATTGTTAGAGCTGTACCGTGGCTCTAGTGCCCACTTTTGGGTGGGTCACACAACCTTCTTGAGAAGTCTCTGCTCTTAAAAATGAAAAAATGGAAATGAAGTGTTTGTAAAGGGGGAGGGGAGGAGGGGTGAAGGGAGGGCAGGGACAAGAGGAAAAAATGAGAGCCAAGACCTGTCATGTAAAGGTACATGATCCCAATAATGAATGTAACTGTACTGTATACCTAAAATGTACCAATAAACTCAATGGGGGGGGGGAAGAAGTCTCTGCTCTTCACCTGCCAGATAATGGACAATGCATGACATTCACTTCACAGAACTGTCAAGAGCAATACAAGGGATGTATTAGTGAGTGCTTACTAGAGAAACAGATTTAATGCAAGATATACAAATATAGAAGAATTTAAAAGACTGACTTACAATAGCTGTCCACAGGGTCAGATGTGGAAGAGTGCTAAAGGGTTATCTGCACTGGAGATCCAAAGGACCCAGTTGAAGGCCTGGAGCTCACTGTAGTGCCCCCTATGAGTCTGTATCAGAAGGCTTAAGGTTCTGTGCCGGAAGGCTGGAAATGATGTCCAAGGTGAAGACAAAGACTGGAGCTCCTCTGAAGAAACAGAAATGACTCTTCCTTCTTCATTTCTCCTTTATACCATTCAAGAGATAAGCTGCCCTAGGGTGGCTATCTTCAGGAAATCTCCTCAGCCACACCCAGAACTATGCTGCTGCAATTTAGTTAGGTGCTTCTTACTTAAATTGACACAATCAGTTAACCATCACAAGAGATGATTTTAAAAGTGTGTTTAAATAACAATATATTACAGTAAAAAACACATTGCCATTGATCCCCTTCAAAATACCCCCCATGGCTTTGAACACACTTATCCTATTACTTTTGCCACTTTCTGAAGCAGCCCTGGAAGTCCTTTCTCATGAGTGCCATTGTGAAGTCTGATTAAAAAAAAAAAATGTAAATAACGCTGCTATGTGTAACCCGACAGAAAGGCAAGTACACACACACAGAGAGACATGTACACAATTGTAGTATGTCTTCATCTACTCTAGTCACCCAAGTCTGGCCTCATGTGACTTCTGATTCTTCAAAATGACCATGAAAAGCAAATGTTTTGGAACAGTTTGGGACATTGAGATAGCCACTACAGTGCAACTAAAAATACTTAGAAGAGGACTTCCAGAATTGCTTCAGAAAGTGGCAAGAACAATTGGACAAGTACGTTTGAAGCAAGGAGGATGTATTTTGAGGAGATTAATGGCAATGTATCTTTTATAATTTAAAATTTTAAACTTACACTATAGTTTGTGATCACATTGCACATACTACCCTCAACCCTGGCCTCCAGATTTGAGATCCTCTTGCTGACCCTCCTCTGGCAGTGCCTCTCCTCACTGGACAATGAATCCATAGGACCATAGGAAGGCATGCACCTTCTCTTCTTCTAGACTGTACCCAGGACGCTGGAGTTCTCTGCTCAAACACACTGAGCCGGACTTTTTTCAGTTCTACCCTTAGAAAGTTAACCACACCAGGGATGCACCCAGAGGCCTGGAAAGTGGCCAAAGGACAGCCATTTGCAGGTGATGGGGAAGGGAAAGAACTTGATGTGCAGATGGAGCATTCCTGGCATGCATGAGAGCCCCTGTTGCTGCAGGACCAGAGAGGAGAGTAGACCAGGAAATGGTCTAAAAGGCCCTATTTTGGACCTTGTCTTCCAGGTCATCACAAAGGAAAACATGAATCAAAGGTAGAGGATAAAAGACTAACTTGACAATGTATTATCCTGATTTATAACTTATATTTAGACCTATATCCCATTTTCATTTTTACTCTTTCCCCAGATTTCATAAACATCAGAAATAGATCTGGCTGTGAAGGCTGAATAAGATGCTATCGCATGGAGAAGTGCTTAGCAATGTGATAGACACAGGGAGAACACAGTACATTTGAGCTCAAAGAGGTCTGCGGCCTCAGAAGTCATGACTCTGTGGCCAGGACTTGCCCTCTCCTTCTCTCAGGAGGTCCCTGCACTGCACTAACAGGGCTGGCTTCCTCACCATCTGTTTTATTTTTACAACAGGGTCATGTTTCTCAGAGGAGTAGTCTGAGGTGAGAGAGGAGGTGAGCCAAAGGGAAGGAAAGTGACCCCTGCCCAAAAGGGGAAAGGAAAGGAATAGAGCTCAGGGTTATCTTTAGAAAACCAAAAAAGGTTACCAAAAAAGGGGAGCAGTTTCCTCTGGTGTCCTCTCCCCTGCTGTCTCACTGCTCACAGCTTCTCAGAGCTGGAAGGGTCCTCAGGAAATCCCCATGACTCAGATGAAGAGATGGGCCCAGAGAGGTAGAATATATGGCCCAAGGTCACCTAGAAAGTTACCAGTAAAGGAAGATATGGAATCTTTCCCATATTTGGTTTTCCCATTCCACACACCCAGCTTGCCTCTAAAAAGCAGCAGAAGGGCTCGGACCAAAAAAGTGCTCGGGAAATGCATTAGTGGCTAGAGGATTTTTACATTTATAGAGCACTTTTCTCAAAAATTCTCAGAAACCTGGCCCATTGATCTAGCTTAGAGATTCTGCCAGAGGATGCCAAGGAAGAGGGTGGCAGAAGTCAGAGTTCCTTCTCCCTCACCTTTGGAAAACCCTGCAGAGCCTTCAGAGTTCATTCCCTTTCTGCCCAGCTCAAGAGCCCCTAGTTGCTGGGGGATTGGAAGGGATCCCAGTAGCTCAGATTCCTTTCTCTCTGCCTACAGAAAATCCCTCCAGGAACAGTAGGCATGCTGTCTGGGGACAACTCCCCAAGCTGGAGCCTGACAGGTCAGATTCCTGGGGATACAATAATGCACTTAGGTCTGGGTGGCCTGGCTCAGAAATACCTTGAAAAGCAAGCTTTTAGGGATGCAGAAATAGATTAAGTCCATGTGGAGGAGCCGCCAGAAAACTGTCCATTCTCAGGCTGGCAGAGACAGACTTGAATTTAAGAGGGAGGAGACTGCTTTCGTGGAGATCCAAGTGGGTTTCTTTGTAGCTGTTATCACGACTGTCTTCTCTGAAACCGGGAAATCCACAAAAATGGTCACCTCCTGTCTTGGATCCCTCCAAGGGGCTGGATTGGATGGAGGAAGAAAAGTGGGTCCCTGTTTCCAGGTGGGTTTACCTAGAGGGGAACCAGTGTAAGGGGGAGGTAGTGTGGGCAGTAATGAGGACTGAGCCCCGCAGCAGCCAGACTCAAAGCTGATCTTCCACAAGAAGGCACTCCTCATTGAGCGCGCAGTGGGATCGCCTTCTACAGGAGACCGGGGCAAGCTCTTCCTCTCAGAGCTGGGAGCCCCAGTGCAGGGAGGAAAGGAAACAAAGAAAATGGAGACCGCCACCGCTGGACAGGTCTCCGAGCTATTTCGAGAGGAATTCCTCCTAAGCAGCAGGAGTCTGGCTGGGAGCCTCTGAGCCCTCTGGCTCCCCTAATGCCTTTGCCTGCCGCCTCCCTCTCCCGCCTCCTCCCCCAGAAACCCTTGCGCTCCCGTCGGGGCATTGCGGGTAACTACTCTGCTCCTGGAACCGGAGCACCTGGCTCTGCAGGGAGCGCACCCCACACCCCCACACCTCCTCTCTGGGCTCAGATCAACACCAAGAGCTGAATCTACACCTCACCTACCCTGCTACCCTCCACTTGCAAACAGGGTACAGCCACAGGATGGTGGCACTGCAGGACCTACATTCTTCTCATGAAAGTTAAATGCCCACAAATCCTTCTCCCACTTGGGTCAGGGTTGGACAGACACTACCTGGTCCATTGTTTGGG